TAAATAACTTCTATACAACAAAAGGAGACTGCGACCACACAAAAGGCCACACCATCTTGGTCTTAATACTTTCAGTTAATATAGTTGCTTCACACTACAGTTATTCAATCATTCGTTTATATGACCTTTCCTTTTTAATTATTGCAACTTAATCCCTCCATTAATGCTTTGACTTCAATTCGTTTCTTTCTTTAGTTATGGCTCAATTATTAGCAACGGCTCTATTTTATCCACGGTTGAAGAGATGCAACCAGGTGACGTGATTGGGTGTCACTTGGATCTCACCTGTCGTCTTCCTGTACTGTTTGAATCAGATACAGATTCATCTACTCGTGACGCTGACTCTACTAGCGATACTAGCAAAGAAACTGCTAATTCCTCCGTTTGTCCGGGGTCAATCGTTGCTCTCGCCTATTGGTCCCGAAATGGCCGCCTTCTGACAAATCAACGCTTGAGTATGAACTTAAATCGGCCTAAACCCTCACCCGAAAACTGCATGGCAAATCATATTTGTCGTAATATTTCGGCCGATAAAAAGAGGCTTGATAAATTGAAAAGTAATTCCATTCAGCAGCCTCTGGCTAAATGGAGGTATGCAAAACGCGATAAAAGTAGGATAACATCATTAAGGCCTTGCTGTTGTAAGAAGGAAAACATGGGTGAATCAAAAGAAATAGGTGGTATTAGGAAAAAAATTAATTTTCAAAAAGTTGATACTAACTGTCCGGAGGGCGTGAAATTCCGTTCGAAAGAAGGTATAATGGACAAAGAACTAGAATTCACAGACCTTCGGTTAAGTGAAGTGGAAGATGGAGACAATTTAAACGGATCCGCTTCAGATTCCTGGCTACCTGCACAAGACTCGGATTGCTTAGCGTATGGATGCCATGGTACTCGTCTTGATAGGCCGGCATACATCTGTCTTCCAGAATACTTGTCTAATGAGATCTTCTTTCCCGCCTGTTCACTAAAGGTGAGTGGTTTATAGTATTTTATATTTTTTTAATCCTCGATTTTCACCGTCGAATATTCTTAACTTGCTAGTCTTATTCAAATTATTTCTCTCAAAATATTTTGGTAATGGCCATAAGACTACTTTTGTGGAGAATTTCATTTCATATATAGAAGTGCATGCTGATGAGTTTCCTAGGTCGATCTCACCATAAGGCGACAACTGATTATCGTACTGCAGCTGTTTGGCTTCACTACTATGTTTGGTCATTAAGCCTTGACGACTAGTATCTAACCTTTGGCTTTGTTCTAATTACTTATGCTTGGTTCTGCTTACAGACCTTGTTACACATACATC